TTCATGTTTAATAAATTTAAATAATGTATAGGAACCGTTAAAAATCCAGGTATGCGGAGGAGGATAGTAATGGTCAAGAAGGCCCACAAAGGTGTGAATGGAGAACGCACAGGTGAAAGCACCGCTACTGCATTTGTGCACAAAACCATGTATACCAAATCTTTCTATGACACTGATATGTGATCGAGATGCTACTTTTCATTCCAAAATCTGGCTAGGGTGATCGCTATATTCCAGGGATTCGAAGCTGGTTTGGAGACATGATCTTTGATGAGATGTGTAAATCATCGACTTTTTTGAAGTTACGTCAAATCCCAAATTTAGCAGGATACTCGTCGAGGATCAGTTGACCCACTGAACACGAACATCACATCAATTAACCGCGAAAAGTCTGACTCGTGCACTACGGACGCCGTGGGTACACATGGGCAAATGGTGTCTGAAGGATCTGCCCGGAATTGGAAAACCATCAAGCACTGTAGCCTTGACTTGTCTTGTTGACCTTTTGCGCGACTAGTGCTTCGAACAGCCGCTCCAGCTCGCGATTCATTTCAAAATCGTAGCAGCTAGTAGCTAATAACGCCTTTTGATAGAGCCATATCGTGGCGAACGCTTCATAAAACAAAAGATGCGCCAGAGAGTTTTGGATGAAATGGTGCAAGAAAAGCAAATCTGTGCTAGTATTCAGCATTTTTGATCGAGTCTCAAATTTATTGGAAGACCTGATAACTGCTTCAATCTTCTTTCATAGTGAGCTTTATGCAGTGATGGTTCTGCCTTAAGGTTCACTACTCCTTCAGTTTAAGGGCCTATATTTTTATGCGGAATTCCTCCTAGAAGGTCGAAATGAAGCTGAGGCTCAAGGACATTGGCTCGATTTTCCTTCAGAAAAGTTACTGTTTGACGAAGTTTTGTGAACCTTGCATAGGCACCAGACCTTGATTTATGCAGTGGTGGTGTGTAATCACACACTATGGGAAAACACAAACGCGCGATTTGGTATATCACTTTTGGTGCACCCAGTAATTGCTGCGCCCTATTTTGCGAATCCGCAAATCGCGGGTTATGCGACGCATAATCCCCGGTTCGAACGGCGTACTAATGGTTCTGAAGGGTACCAGCATACACCCAGGATTCGAGCGATGCACGAGTGAATCGACAATGTTTGAAAGTGGAGGAGTCTTTTTCATGCGCACGTTGACCTTTGCTTCTTTTACCATGCTCTCATGGCCGCGTGAGCCCAGGAAAATGGTTAGAGTCTACATTCCCATGAAAGGGAATCCCGCCACTTCCAAACACTGTCGACTCGCTGGTACATCGCTCCAATCGTTGGTGTATTGCTGGTACCCTTAGAACGGTGTCAGACTTTGCAAATCCAACATTCGTTAGAGATCCGCTATTTGCAAAGGCCGGCCTCAGGCCGATATCGGACTTTGATGCGAGCGTTGCACCAGCGAATCGAGTTGCATACCAGCGGAACGAACTATGTGCCAGCGGGTTGAACGATGTACCAGCGTTCGAACGATGTACCAGCGACTCAACACTGTTTGAAAGTGGCGGGACTCCCTCTCGTTTGCACGTTGATTCTCGCTGCTTTCTTGAACTCTCATGCCCTCGTTAGGCCGGGAAAGTGGCGAGAGCCAACGTTCATTCGAAGTCCCGCCATTTTCAGTCTCTGGTACATCGTTCGATCCGCCGATACATCGTTCTATCAGCTGGCACATAGTTCGATCCGCTGGCACACAGCTCGATTGGCTGGTGCAATACTTGTATCCGTTTGCTGGATTCGCGAAGTCTGACATAGGCCTGAGTAAGATCGTTCTGTTTTAACGGAACCAATAATAATAATGGTTTACTCTTCACTGCAGTGTGCTGGACCTTCATTGTTGTTGTTTAAGGTGTCATTCGCATTCGGAAACGCTTCTACTGCCTATGTTGTGGTGACACTGAGTTCCCTGTCATTAACCTTTTTGCTGATGCTAACAACCTTCTGCCTACAGGTAAGACTATACAAACAGTGCTCAGTTGCAGGTCTTACATTTGCTATTTTTCGTTCATTCAGCTATTTGGACTCGATTCCCCAGATCTAGCCTATGCTGACGAACTGACGCGTGATCTATTCGTAGTATTCCCTCCATTCTCACTTGGACGTGGCATCCTCGATACAGTGCTGAACGACTACTACAACAAGTCTGTATGCCTGGATAAGGCCAATAATCATTTAACATTTGCGGATGTTATGTTACACCTTTCATAGTCGTTTATCGCTTTCAGCTTCTATGCTTTGGCTGGACAAAGTGACAAAATCAGAAGCGCCCTAGCTAGCGGGAAACTTGACCGGTACCTGATCGGAATGTTGGTGACTGCTATTGTCTCATCCTTACTTACAATGCTGCTATCTCATATTCACAACACGTACGTTTCATTTGGCCTGCTAATTTTTCAAATTCTCACCACGCTGAACAAGAATATGTCCAAATAGGAAAAAACATGAAATCAACGCTTTGAGCAAGTAAACAATCGTTGACAAATGAAGTCAAGGCATCTATGGAGCAAATTTTTCCAACCATGGGAGTGTGATAGATCAAAGGGGCCGATTAATATAAATCTGTCTTCCAACCTGCTACGCATCCCCATTTAATACAGATGTGACGATATGACAAGTTTTGGTGTTGTTGGCCAGGTGGGTCGACGCGATTTTGCGACAGGACGGGCTCACCTTATCTACATGGATTTTAAAAGTGAATATCGGAAAACAATGATTGGCATTAAATATAAAATAAAAATAAAAATAATGATGTGATAAATATAAATAATATTTGTTTGTCTGTGCATTTGCCTATCGCTTGTACTCGGCAGATTCGTTTTGTTGACTCAAAAAATAGTTGAAGCTTTTCTCGACGGTGGGAAATTGAACGCAGAGCACGTGCGGCATTAAAGGAAGCGATTACGATAGATCTCAAAGGGGTTTAGAGGGGACGTGGGGGTCTCAATAGTACGCCAATGGCGAAAAAAGCAAAGAAATCCGTCAAAAATAAGCAAAATAGTACCCCTTTGATTGCCCTTTCATTTTCGACCATGAATGAGCGGCGACAAAGAATGAGTTGTTCGGACGTGTTAAGGCAATACGTGGGAAAGTTGGAAGATACAGCCGCTAGAAGGGAAATGATCATCCAAAATGAAAACTTGTTTGGCGTATTACATGAGAAAGGGAACGGGACACGGAAGGCCGGGCCATCATGCCACAAGCGATGTTCTGAGCTGACTAAGACACATACTGGAAAGTGTGGAAGATACAGCCGCTAGAAGAGAAGTGATCATCCAAAATGAAAGGCCAACAGGAAACAGTCCATTCAGATCATCAACAAAACTGGTGGGCGTTACGTCACTGGGGACGGAGCGTCACACGGGCCTTGCTCAGCGACCACACTCCGCGCTTGCGCACCTTGCCGGGAGATCCAACACAGTCGCTTTCCTTGAGCCAAAGTAATTGCTCCGTTGGCGCAGTTCTCCCTCCAGCTGCAGAATTCTTTTCGTAACGTGTTTAAAGGACGAATTCACGATGAAAAAGCAACCCATTTTCAATTAACTAGGGATGGTGAGTGGTACACGAAAGAAGAAGAACCATGAGAAACGGCCCAGAACCCGAGAAATGGTACCCCTTCCTTGCCCGTTGATTCGAGCATTGATGCGACTCTCATCGCTGTGCCCTCTTCAACACTACGCTCTCTCAGCTATCTAATCACTCGCCACGTATTGAACTACGGCGAGTGATCAGATGATCGGTGGGCGGAGATCGCCGGACCCGCCAGCTTTGAGGCATGATAGGTCGCCGAGGTCAAATTTTTCCATGCGAATTGCGCGTCAGTTCGCACCCACCCTCAGGAGGTCCGTGGGTCCCTCAACTAGGTCAGTTTCCCTTTCTTCGACCTTCATTCTAATCGTGAATTCCTCCTTTAAGGAGGAGACGGCCAAAAGCTGTCGTTGTGGTACACGAAAACTAACCATGGGAAACCACCAAATCTCTCCTAACATCTCCACTTTGAATATAAAGTGATTCCTGGGGTTTGACCATGTTGATGTGCGGCAGTGTACAGGACCTCGTCAAAATTTATACGGTAGTGGGAGGAGCCGGCCAGGTGAGCAGGCTCACGCCAATATCTCTGCCCACGCCAATAAAGCCCAAACCTCCAGATGTAAACCGGTCTCAGTGGGCAATAAGGATTTAGGTGAAAGACAGAAAAAAGCTAAGCTAACCATAAGGCAAGTATGTAGGTTGTAGGGAAAGTCTTTGCGATTCTAGACAGTTATAGATTTATTCACTTTTTGAAAGCAACAAAACACATGAGGACGCGTGTTAATCACCATCGCACTCTATCACTCTTTGCCACTTTTCGGGCAGACTTCGGCTGCCTTCAGCAAGAACTGCCCTGAGTTCGATTCAAAAAAGTTACTCAACCAGCGATCTGTGTCATCTTCGTCTTCGAACGTTTTTTTTCTTGTACAGCATTCGTTAGCGGAAGAAAAGGTAGTACTCTGTTGGAGCAGTATCCTGGCTACGGTGAGTGGCTTCCCACTTCCGATCTACAGGGTGCACCAAAATTACTTGCTTAAAGTTACAGCGGTTGTTTAGCTGACACTAGTAAACGATAAGCGAACATTTGGTTATCATCCTTTTAACTATCAAGTCCTCTAGAAGTGCTTTGCCTCCTCCCACTTCTCAGTACCCACGTTTTTTTAGAATGGTTGGACTTTATTTCCCCCGCTCCATGACCACTCAGTTGAACGTGCTTGGTCCCAGTGCAAAAACAATAGCCAAAATGCTACTAGAAGGTGAAATGACTGTAGATTATCATCAAATGATAAAAGGACTCTGAAGCTATGAAATACCTCTCAGAATGGTGGACACCCAGCTGCAACTTCCACGAAAATTGTTAAAGTGGCAAGTGGTAGATAGGTGCGGCCCAATCCAACGAGGTCGCTAACAAACATAGTCAAAAAGCTAGTAAAATGCTATCCCTCAAGCTGTCATATTGCTGAGAAAAAGATATCACTTTGTACTAATAGCTGCCAAATGCCTCACTCCATGCTCCATCCATAAAGATAATCCGGTGCGAGAACTTCAAGACATTTTCCGAATGATTACGTCGGCGCGCCACCGAGAGATGGTCTTCTTCGGTGAAATGCCGTTCAGAGTGAACTTAATTTCCGATCGTCAAAATGATGGAGGACTTATGAGTCGTATGCTCACTTGTTTTTAGAGGATATTCCAACTAAAGCAGAGGACAAACTTGGTGGATGTGCTGCCGAAACCTCACTTTCCTGGACAGTATCCCACAAATCCGAACCCTTGTGTTTCTGTAGGATGCAACACTCTGGTAGACGAAAAAGAGCATCGCTCCACGCAAGAACAACCAACCTGACCTCACCAACGCTTAATGACGGTCAATCAATAGTACTTGCTCAAACAGAGTGGAATATTTGGTGTTGAGCTTTCTAGATGATGAGGACTGCTCGTAACTACACTAACCAGCTGCAGCCCAGATGAGGAACCTGCTCCTCGCAACTAAAGGCTAAAGCTCGTCGAAAGAGACACTTCTAGATTCGAGATGTGAAGCCGGGCTTGGTAGTAGCACTCAATTCGTAAACTTCTGTTAGGGAACGAGCCCTCAATTTACTATTTTACAGCTATCAGGGGGAATTTGAGCTAAGTAGTTTTGGCGCACCCTGTAGAGTCGAGTTGCTTTTGTGGGTCACTGTTGTAGTGCGTGGCGAACGTTATCATGCAGAAATCAGATCAGGCCACAATTTCCATGCTTCTCTGCGATCTTGGTGGCCGTTCTATCCAGCTCCTTATGCACGAAGTCCACTGCGAGAGTAGCGCAGCGCGGCAGTAGCTCGCGATGGATAATGCCTTAGCAGTCTCACAAAACAGATCATAGAATTTGAAGCAAACATCTGCTTTACGTCTTGCGGCTACTGATGGTGCAACCTTGAAAATCAGTGTCGGCGTGGCTCGATATTGACCTATACTTCTCATCCTCTAAGGCGTTGAACTTCGGCCAACCCTCCGTGCACGTGTCCGAGAGCCATTCCTTAGCCACCTCGTCACGTTACAGACGGTGGCGTTCGGTCTGGTAGCGGGGTACTCATTGTGCCAGGTTGTGTACCTCCCCTAAATGATGTGGGTGATCGCGGTCATGCTCAAAGGACTACCCACTGAAACTCATACAAGTTCACACGCAGTTTGCCATAGAACTGCCCACACCAGCTTTGCGCAAACGATCATTGTCTACCTTGAATACAGTCCCGCGAAACTTTGGAGCTTGGAGTCTCCTTCACGGAAGCGTTCAGACCAACTTAGTGCAGTGCATTGGGATACCTTACGTTCTCACGCGCAGGATTAAAGGAGGATTGCACGGAAAGAACGAAGGTCGAAGAAGGGAGAAATCGCCTAGTGGGGAGAGCGGTGAATCTCTTGAGGGTGCGGACAGACACGCAATCGGCATCGAAAGATTTGACCTCGGCGACCTATCATGCCTCAAAGCTGGCGGGTCCGGCGATCTCCGCCCACCGATCATCTGATCACTCGCCGTAGTTCAATACGTGGCGAGTGATTAGATAGCTGAGAGAGCGTAGTGTTGAAGAGGGCACAGCGATGAGAGTCGCATCAATGCTCAAATCAACGGACAAGGAAGGGGTCCCATTTCCGGTTTCTGGGCCGTTTTTCGTGGTTTCGCTTTCTTTCTGGTACTACTCACCATCTCTACCTCAATTTGGAATGGGTTGCTTTTCCATCGTAAATTCGTCCTTTAAGCTGTCTCATCAGGGTGGTGAGTGGTCGGAAACAGCGACCCGTTTAGTAAAAGGCGATGAATACAGTCTCGTGAAAGTAAACTATATTACATAAAGGTTATTAGACAGAGTTAACGACTCATAAGTGATACCTCATATGTGCACAAGCCAAGGCGTTAAGCAGGTAAAAATGAGATTTTTTGAAAATCGAAGAATTCCCTGCGAATTTAAATACGGGCAGGTTTCAGATAAGGTGGAAAATTATAGTATTGACCGGGTGATGTCGTAAAAGTCATAATTCTACCAAGCTACAGCCTATATCTCGCCGTCAGAGCAAGCGTATCAGCGGAAGTGACGTGCAGGCCGCCGCTAATTGATAACTCGCGGATGAGCTGCTCCAAACTAATTCCATTGAAATCAGCATTGTGCGGAAACAGCTTATCCGCGCAACTGCTATCAAGTGTGGCGGCTTCCACTTCATTTTTGGGACTCAGAAGGCGAGATATGGACTGTACAATGATTTCGATTGCAAATACAAGTCTCGTGCAGAGGCCTCGGACAGACAGAGGCAGTAATAAGATCAATTAGTGATTGTAGATTGATGCTGTTCGGCTAGGACTCGAGGCCAATCGATCCGATGGCGCGACTGAAAAATCGATTATGTTGCGTCTGCATGAGGTAAAATCG